CCGATATATATATATATATATATATATATATATATATATGTCGAAAGAGAAAGAGAGAGGAGTGTGGAAAGAAAGAAAATGGGGGATGTACGATAGAGAAGAAAGGAAAGTGAGAGAAAGAGAAAAAGAAAAATGAATGATATATAAGATCGAAATATAAAGAAAGAAAGAGACAGACAGACAGACAAACAGAGATAGACAGATAGACAGAGAGAGAGAGAGAGAGAGAGAGAGAGAGAGAAAGAGAGAGAAAGGAAAGGGATGATTGATTGATTGAAAAATTTTACGGGATGGATGAATTGGGGGGATAGGGATGGAGGGAGGGAGAGGGGGGGAGGAAGAGAGAGAGAGAAAAATAAAAGAAAAAGAAAGATATAACGAAGAAAGAAAAATATACGAAGGATGGAAAATAAACGGATTGATGGAAGAAAAATAAAGATGGGAAAGAAGAGAGAAAGAAAGAGAGAGGAAAGAAATAAAAAGAGAGTGCGTGCGTAAAGTAATGACAGTCGCGCGCGATAGTGAGAGATAGAGAGATAGATAGATAGAGAGAGAGAGAGAGAGAGAGAGACAGAGAGAGACAGAGAAAGAGAGAGACAGAGAGAGAGAGAGAGAGACAGACAGACAGACAGGGCGGACAGTGAAAATGGTCCGTGCCCGGGCAGCCAGCCAGCCCGCCAGCCAGCTTGCTTATGGGAGCTTTTCTACTTGCAGCCACCCCTTCCACCAAACCCCGCACGCTCGACCCTGTCGAGCCTCGAACTCGACGGATCGATCGATATTACTGCTCCTGCGAGCTGCGTCCTACCCTAAACCTTGCTTCTCTCTCACTCTCTCTCTCTCTCTCTCTCTCTCTCTCTCTCTTTCTCTTTCTATCTCTTTCTCTTTCTCTCTCCCTCCAACGTTACCTCGTTACTTGCCTTCACCTACTGCCTCTCTCTCTCTCTCTCTTTCTCTCTTTCTCTCTTTCTTTCTCACTCCCTCTTATTCTCTCTCTAAAGCTCCTTTCTCCCTCCCTTTTGGTTTCATCCTCCATCCTTAAACTTTCCAGCTAGGTGTGTGCGTGTGTGTGTGTGTACGTGCGCGCGCGGATATGCGCGCACGTGTACGTTTGTATGTATGTGTGTGGGTGTATATGTGTACGTACGTGCGCGCGTATAAGCAACGACCCAAGCTTCTCCACGGAAACGGAGCTACTGGTTCTTCCTCAACCATCAAAGCTTCTTCCATGATATCATTCGACTTGTGAGCTTGATTGCCTTGTAGAAAATAGAAAGGGAGATTCAGTACTACTCGTTTTCTATTTTTTTTTTCTTTTTTTTTCTTTTCTTTTTCTTGATCCTTTCTCTCTTTTTATTTTTTTTATTTTTTTTTTTATCGTGTTTGTATTTTCTTTTCTTTCCTTTTATTCCCTCCTCCCTTCCTCCCTTTCTCTCTCTCTCTCTCTCTCTCTCTCTCTCTCTCTCTCTCTCTCTCTCTCTCTCTCTCCCCTTCCTTTCTTTCTTTTCTTTCTTTCCTTTTATTTTACAGATTTTTTTTCCCTTCCTTTTCGTTCATTCGTTCGTTCGTTTGTTTCTTTCTTTCTTTCTTTCTTTCTTCTTGTCCTGATAAAAAATGAAACGATCATATGATCTCTCCCTTCCCACCCTTCTCCTCCTCGCCCCTCCACCAAATTCCTATTCTCAACCAATCTCATCTGACCATCCCCAACCCTTCAAAACTATCTTCTTTTCCTATCGTAAGGATTGAAAGTTCAGAAAAGAAAGATCTGTATCTATCTATCTATCTAACTATCTATCTATCTAACCATCTATTTATCTACATATATATATATATATCTTTCTCTCTCTCTCTCTCTCTCTCTCTCTCTCGCTCTCTCTCTCTACCTCTACCTCTTACTCACTTACATGTTACTTCGAACGTAACACGTAATTCGAACGAAATTCAGGAAATACGGTAAGAGGATGGGGGACTTTTGAGAAATTACACGGACGAGTGCTCTTTCTCTCTCGTTTCGTTTCGGTTAACCGACTGACTGTACATCTCTCGTTTCGTCTGACGTCAGCGTGACACCAAAGATAGAATGTCAGACAGCTGACGACGTTATAACCATCGTCGCAAAATAAAAATATATTATACACATGTACGATATGCATTATATAATACGTATGATAAAAATTTTATCTACATATATATAAATACATACATACATACATATATACATACATATATATATATATATATATATATATATAAAATATTAACACCGCTCGATCAAAGTCTACCCCTATTATAATCTCGTCCTTTTGCGAAACATGAGAAATGAGAAATATTTTGCGTTAAGGGATGTCCAATGTTGACAAGGAAGAAGAATAAAAGAAAAAGAAAAAAAAGAAAGAAGAAAAAAGAAAATAAAGAAAAATAGAAAGAAAGAAAGTAAGAAAACAAAGTAAAGAAATAAAGAAGAAAAGAATAAAATAAAGAAAAGAACTCCGTTCCTCCATAACCAACCATCTGTCACGTCAAAGAAGATAAAGAGATTGCATTTAAATTGTAGAACGTAATCTAGCGCCGGGTTTAAAGAAAAAAAGAAAAAAATAAAAGTCTCCCTCTCTGTCTCTATCTCTCTCTCTCTCTCTCTCTCTCTCTTTCATTATTATCATATTTCTAACGAATCAAATCACGTTCTAAAATATTTCGTGATATCTCTTTTTCTTGTTTTCTCTATCAGCACCAATCAAGCAACCAACCAACCAACCAACCACCCCGTTCTGCCACCTAATCCTCACCTCCCACCTTCATCCCAACCACCCACCCATCAACCTTCCCTTTTTATTTTCAATTTTATTATTCTTCTCTCTCTTTCTCTCGCTTTATTTCTTTCTTTATTATTTCCTTCCGTTGTTTGCCATTAGGAAAATTCAAGAAGACGGAATAATTCGTACGACGACAACACAAGTCGTGTATTCCATCGTGTATAATGAGATTTAACATCTACGTATGTATTTACGTACGTATGAGTGAATGTGTATTTCTTACAAGAGACTGAATAATTTTCATCCGAGAGTAACACGGATAAAATAAAGAGAGAAAGAGAAAAAGAGAGACAGAGAGAGAGAGAGAGAGAGAGAGAGAGAGAGAGAGATAGAGAAAGTAAGTTTTTCTTCGGTCCCTTTGGGGAAACCTTGTTGAGGGTCGAAGAAGAATACCGCGTAAGAAGCGACCGGAAACGAAAAGTACGCTTGAGGAGAAGCTCAGGGAGAAGGTCAAATCGCTTCTATCGAAGATCTTTTATTCCGTGAAAAAGGAGAGAGACAGAAAAAGAGGGAAAGAGAAAGAAAGAAAAAGAAATAGAAAGAGAAAAAAAATCTGGCCTTCTTTCTCTCTCTCTCTTTCTCTCTCTCCATTTCTCACTCGCTCATTCTTATTTTCTCTCTTCATCTTTCTTTCTTTCTTTCTTTCTTTCTTTTTCGCACACCCATCTTCCATTCCCTCGTTTCGAATCTCTATTAAAGTGCAAAGGGGTGTTATAGTTAGGACTCCAGAGAAAGAGAGAGAAAGAGAGTGAGAGAGAGAGAGAGAGAGAGAGAGAGAGACGCTCACTCTCGAACTTTAAGGGCGATAGCTATTATCGATCGGTTACCGTATCGTACCGTATCGTACCGTACCGTACCGTACCGTGTCGTATGTTTTCTCGAGAGATTCATAATCCTCCCTTTCATTCTCCAAAAAAACAGACCCTCTTCGTTGGTTATCGATCATATCTTTGCGATAAGTATATCACGCTTGTACGCGTGTGTCCTTCGGAAAGATTGAAAGTAGTAGTAAATACTTTTCCAAACGTTAATACACATATCTTCGTTGACTTTCTTTTCTTGCCATCCCCCGCCCCACCCACCATCCCCGATCTCACCCCTTTTTCTCTTTTTTCTTTTTTTTTTTTTTTTTTTTTCTTTTTTGCATTCTCCCTTTTCCTTTTCTTTCTTTCTTTCTTTCTTTCTTTCTTTCTTTCTTGTTTTTCTTTCTTTTTTCTTTCTTTCTTTCTTTCTTTCCTTTCCTTTCTTTCTTTGTTTTTTCTTTTTTACTTTCTTTTTTACTATTTTTTTTTTTACTTTTCTCCTTTCTCTTTCCATTTTTTTTTCTTTTTTCCTTCTTGTTTTCTCCTCTTTCTCTTTTCTTTCTCGACTTTCTTGACTTGTCCGTAGTGACAAAATCGAAATCGTTCCTTTGTTCCATTATCAAACGTTCAATATTCGATAAATATCACGAGTATACTAATCGTATAAAGAAGAAAAAAAAAAAAAAAAAAGGAAAAAAAAACCCCCCGAAAGAGTTCATCGATTCTTTCTTCTCTTTTTCTTTTTTCTTTCTCTCTAGTAATTAGGAGAATATAAAGCAATTATTCTCCTAATTAATAAATAATTTAAGATATGTCACATATTATATTATATAATCGAATAATATGTAATAATTTAAATAAAATAGAAATAATTATTATCCTAATAAATAAATAATTTTAGATATGTCATATATTATAACATATAAATAAATTTTTATAATTATTCTTATTATCACTAATAATGTAATTAGGTGATTACTTTATAAATTGTGAATGATAAATTAATATTATTTATATATTTTTAAAATTTATAATAATTAATTATTTTATAATCTAAGTTAATTTATATCTAACGTAATTTAAAATAAGAAAAATTATATTAATGGAAATATTTATTGAATCTTTTAAAAAATAATTATATAATTATGAAAATTTAATTGTAATATTTTTTCTTTCCTTTTTCTTTTTCTTTTTTTTCTTTTCCTTTCTTTTACATTCGTACATCTTTTTCTTATTTTTTTTTCTTTTTTTTTTTTCTTTTTGATATCACGTCGAATCACTTTCTTTCACACATTTAATAATAACTATCAAGGATCCAAGAAGTGTAATAAAATGCAATGAAAAGATTAATAATCTTGAATAAACTATATAGATCATTGAC